TAGCCAGTTCCTCCGTGGTTGAGGATTCCGGGTGAAGCTCGCTTCCACCTTCGGCCTAATCATCACTTACCATCAGGTGAGATGCAGGCCAAGAGCTTCCTCGTTGTGGATAAAAAAAATAATTACATCGATTTGGTATCGGCCGAGCAACAAGTAGACTGAGACCGATTCTGTCTAAATCTGAATTCACTAAAGTCTAAAAAAGACTAAAGTCAGGAAACCACGAATAATTAATATCATTCTATTCTACATTCTGAAGCTATTTCGTCTTACTTAATATGTAAGTAATAGTAGAACGAACAGCGTTGGCTTCCAAATGATATAACGACTGTTTCATGGAATTTTAAATTCTCGTAACATTGTTTATGCATTCACAGTAACTCTAACTCTTCCTGATTGCAATATTATTTATTTACATAAAAACATAACATGCACAGTTGCGTATTTCTAAACGTCAACATCAAAAATGTATAACGCGTCCGTTGGTTTATTTTTGGTGTCATTGCTCGCATTAAATACTGCAGTCGGTTTGTTTACATCAAATGCATCTAAATTTCCATAAGGAACAATTTTAATTTTATTATATTCTTCGCACGTAAGTTTTATTGGGTTTAACGCACTTAGAGCTTACCTTTCACCACCTTTAGTGCGTTCAAGTCATCCAGTAGGTATTCTCAATGTAGCTGCATACATTGTGTTGTGACTTACGTAACTGTATTCACAAAAGCAAAAAGAAGAATCGATGAATACTACATTCTCATGCTTTAAATGTACATCGTCTATAGACCTGTCTTCGCTTCACTCATACTACACCTGCTCAAAGATTTTCTGTAAATTACGAACTCAGATCTAGTTTTGAAACGAGTTTCAACTCAAAAGAATTAGTTGAATGTCGGCGTTTTTTTTCTTATTAAGTTTTTTGTGAATTCCAGTAACGATTTGTTTCCTGCTGAATCAGTATTCAAATATTCACGTTCAGTTTTAATTAAATTGAGTCAGTTATCAGAAACAGTTTTAAAAATTTTCGTGTTGTTTAAGTTACGTTCCTACATGTTTAAAATGTAAACAAAATTTTAAGTTACTTTATCAGTAGTTAGTACTTCTCACTTATGATTGTAGGTAATATAAGAACACACTAGAGATACCTCTCTCTTTCGGTTTAAAAATTCTGTAAAAGCTGTTTTAATCGGTAAAATCAATCCATTCAAATGCGTTTTAAAAATGTGACGAAAAATACACAGTAGGTACTACGACTATTCTCTACATCGGGACAATTAATAGTTATGTTAACTTATTGTGAACTCCATCAGTTAATAATATAACGCGTGAGGTTGAAAACTATCAGTGGATTAGGTTAACTACGTCAGATTATAAACTAACGGTATTCAAAATTTTACGGTGACTTGTCCATAATATTATGTGACTAATGATAGGATCAATTTGCAAACCCAAAGGTCAAAGCGAACTATAAATATGTTTGAAACCAGTTTCTTACTGCCCAAGTAACATTTTACTCCATTTAAGAGTTCAATAGTCGTTCACATGTACTCCACAAGCTGTGTATGTCAGCTGTATACGAGCTGTATAGCTTGCTATAATGCTTTTATAGAACCAGTTTGGGCACAAATTAGACAGCTTTAAGTTCACTATGGCTGTACATTAGCAGTATAATAGCATTATAATAGCAGTTTAAGTAGTAACATCGTACTTAAGGCTGACTTACGGCACTATATGGGACGCAGTGTGAACCATACAACGTACGTGAGGACAATAAAGAGTAACAAGTGGCTAAATGCACAGCTTTCAAAGTTATAAAGTCCGACAAAAGTACTCCAATGCTACCTAAAGTTCACGTGTGTCTTAAATTATTTCCATATTTTAATATTAGTTTGGTATTTGTACGTGAGTGCCAAGAGGGAAACAACTCGGGCGGATAATCATTTATGCAAATAATAACACGGGTTTTAAATACTTAATAATGTTAATGCCATTGGGAATGCAACTTTATCGTGAAATGTATACATATTTACAGCTAAAATATTTACGCGCCTCTGTAAAAACGCGATATTCATTTTAAAATATTTAAAACTGGCTGAGAGGAAATCTACAATTTTCAGTTTTTGATATTGTATTGGCATTATAATTATACTACGGTAATTAATTATAACATGAAACCAAAACTCAATCGCTCTATCTGCGAATTTTGTGATAAATCTGCATTAATTTTGGAGATTTATTTGGTAAATATTTTAGGTTATGTAGAACAAAATGGTGGAAATGAAATACGGCTATGTGAACTGTTATAACTCCAATTTAATGCGGTGAGCGTATATTAGGTTCACATGTGTTCTGTTAGAATGCTGTTATCTATATTAAGTTCCACATTTGTACCACTACAGCGCTAATGTCTATAAATTTATTCTAATGTGAACTTATGTACAGCTTTAAGATGTACCTAGTTCAGGTCAATTGTGTATCTTTAATTCTTTCAAATACTGAAATTTTAGAGATCCGCAATAAAAATTATTAATGTCCGTTAAATCGCCTAGCCCAGGTACTAATAGTCAAGTATGAATACCTAAAGCATCAGACGGTAGTGTTCCCGGTTTAAATTCGTTTATTATGCTTGACAATTTATTCAAAGCGGAATGAGGAATACGATTTTCAATAGCCCATGTTCTTATTTTTTTGCTAAAGGTTAAATAATTGTCTAAATCAAAATTGTATTCACTATCACTAGAACTGCAATCATCACACTCTGATATCTGTATATTTTGAAGGGAACTTTCAGGTTCAGGCATAATATTTTCCTCTGCATCATGTACAGAACCACCATAAATACAACTAAAAACAGGCTTGGGGAAAAGTGTAATAGAATATCACATTCACATTCATTTTCAGCTTAAAGCAAATAAGAGTAGTACTTGTGGACAAATAAACTGCTATTGATGTTAATGGACAACACATATAGTCCTTTTAACAGCCTACAGTGTACATGCGAACCATTGAAACACTTTTGTACAGATAGTAAAAAAAGGTTATTTTAATTATCACAAACAAGTCCTACTACAGCTACTAGCTGTATAACAGTCTAAAACAAGTAAACATAACAGCCTTTGGCTTTATAAATGACCACGTGTGTTCTATTAAAATGCTAGCTCTATAACATCGTACAAGTAGGCCGTTTAACAGCGGTTGCCGTATCTCTACCCTCCTATAGTGCTCTTAGTCAGATGGCTGACTAAAAGATAGTTGTTAGAGTATTATAACACCAACAATCGTATAAAAGTATAACTCTACACTAGTCTACACTCCTATAAGTCCCTTAGACAGGTATAGGTGTAATTAATTGCAATAATACAGCTTATACATCACGAGTGAACTGTACTAATGCTTTAAGTACACATTGGAACTAAATGTGAACTCTTAAATGGAGTAAAATGTTACTTGGGTGAGCTGTGTTATGTTCGAATGAATTTTTTTCTAGACAATTGAATGAAATAAAAAGATAAAGACAACTAAGTATACGTATTCTTTAGATACGAATGTTTTAAAATTTAATTGCGTAAGTTTCAGACTATACTAGACTCTTTTAGTTTTGTTTATTTATGTGCCTAATGAATTATTTTTATGTAAGTGTTGAGTCAGATTGGACCTTTGATAATAATGAGTTAAAACTCGATGATAAAAAATGGTAGAGTCGCAAAAACATGAAAGTGATAGAATTTCGATTTGGAAACAAATTATAGGATTGTTAGGGATAGTCGTAACTCGTCAATTTAAGGTGATTCGTGCACACTGTTTCAGAAGCGTTTAGAATGTATGATAATGATAGAAAAAAAAAATCTGTGAATTCATCGAATATTTGGGCAACAAAATGTTGTATATGTATGTCTTTAAGCTGAATCTACTGTTTTAAATGAACCGTATGTAGGTACGTAAGTATATTGTTGAAGTCATAGCAACATAGGTGTATTTTGTTTTGTCACCGTCTTAACCTATAAGTAGCGTGGAAATGCGTTCTAGTGCTCTCTGAGATATGCGGTCACAAATATACATTCATATAGAATAGATAGAGTGTACGCGGAAGACGGTAGTACTAGTACCGGTTGAACTACTCGTAGAAGAGAGCTAAGCTATGTAATTCGAAATAATAATTGGAAATTGATCACAGAAACACAATAACTGTTGTAAATATTGTAAATGACGAAGGATTTTATAGCTTATGCAGTAGTATGTAAAAGTGTAGTGTGAAAAAATGTAGAGAGGTCAATCTACCTAACAACCATTATGTTATGCTTCGATTGCGATTTATTTTAAAAGATAGAGCGAAACTAGAGGCAACAATTATGCTAAAAAGTAATCACTGTGAAATATGATACCAGCGCGTAAATAAACGAAATTATGCAATGTAGAGCCGTGACCAAGAACCGTGAAGACGTTCATAGCGTCCAAGACGTTATTAAGACGTTTCACGTTAATGTGATTCGAAAAACTAACGATAACAATAAGCCTGCCGACGCCAGCGAGTTATCAACCGTTGAACACAACGTTTTTTATCAAACCATTCACAACTAACCGCCGCTCGGGACCGTTAGCACCTGCCGCTACGCACCCAATAAACCCCCAATTTCGTCCACAAACCTGTGACTTCAACTCGAAATCATTGATGGCATACACCAAGAATGCCGATATAACTGTTAAGCCCGACGAAATATTAAATTAGAATGGGAAAACAACTCGCCTCACGTTTTCATACAGTTATGCGTTGGGTAAGCGATAACCTGAATTGAGATAAGCCTTCGGGCTTCGGAATTTCGGAGGCGAAAGCATCGTCTTAAGCTTTAGTGCTTACCTCAGATATAGATAATATTGTATGCACAAGCTAGTCTTCGCATTTAAAGAAATCTGTAAACCAGTTTTAAAGCATTCTTAACGGTTAACGCGGCCCGGTGGCGAGCAGCCGACGCGGCCCGAGCCCGGCAGGTCCCATCACTCACCGTCCGTTCGGCGCTGACGGGGAGTGCACCAACTTCACGGCGAACAGGAACTGTATCGCACACACGAGAAGACAGCATAAGTTCAGCGAGAGCGTCAACGCACACAATGCTAACGTCACTTCGTACACTACAGCGAACTCCTCGGGAGCCGTCGTGGCGGGCGCGGAGATCTTGAGGAGGAACAGGAGCGCCAGGAGTGCCAGGAGGAGGCTGACGAGGCACAGCAGAGCGAGCGAAGTCAGTGCCTCCTCCGTGGCGGCGCGCGTGCTCCGACTCCGCGCGGGCGCCGGGCGGCTGGCCGGCAGCCCGGGAGCGGTTCCATTGGCAATCTTGGGGGGCGACGCGACCGGGATCGGCGCCACGACCGGCACCGGCGCCGGCGCCGGCGGCTGCGCGCCGGGGCTGACGCTGGCCGAGGTCCCGCCGACGGAGTGCTTCGAGGAGTCTAGGGTCGACACGTTGAGGGGCAGGTGGTGGTGCGGCCGCCGTGGCATGTTCTGGTAGCGGTGGTCGGCATCGTTCGCCGCCGGCGGCCGCTGCGCATGCTTCAACATGGCGCTCTCACGGCCCTCGCCATGCCGACTGGTTCTCGGTCATCCGGGCCGGTTTCGTTTGCGTTGCGTGCGCGCGGTCGGTGCGGCGGCGGGCGCTCGACTGGCGGCCCCCCGTGCCTGCTACACGCGTGTGTCAATCACCGCCTCGCCGGTGCAGGGTGCAACTGCATTCGGTCGAGGGTACACCTCTACCTAACCTACCCCGACAATAGAAATGCACTCGAAACAATCGACCCAAACATTGTCCATTGATGGCAACGGTGTTTGTAAACAGCAATTGGGCATTTGTTTCAACAGCTACTGCAGGTTTATAACATTTGAAACAATGTAAATATTTGATCTTTTTAGTGGCCTAATTGAGTTGGAAATGTTGGAATTCTGTTGGTTTGAATTGTTTAACAATTAATTTCACTGATAAAATTTTCTCAAATTGGGTAGGATAGTCGTTTATCATAATACAATCTCAAATCGCTGTTTAGAACTTGAAATAATGAGTAAAAAATACAATTAAAATAAAAAACATCTACGTAACTTAATTGTAACTTCCCATTCCATCTACTGACTGTAATATTATTGTGATAAAATCCTTGAATATTTATTTGGTTACACAAAAATTCTAAAAAACGACATTTGTGCCTGCCCTGATAAGCTACTGTATCGCGCATGCGCGTGCTAATTCTGCGCAGATAAGAAGGCTAGAACAATCAACGACCTAAAAAGCAAGATTTTTCACTTAGATAAATAAAATAATTCTAAATACCTACACTAGAAAGGTTCCAACTTGATGTTGATACATTAGCTGTTGATTACCGTTAATAATTTAAGGTAGACCGCACACGAAAGATGAAGGCGCTAAAAACACAGATAATTCGAAGCCACCTAAAAAGCGACCTACGCTACTCTACGTTAAAAGTAGGAATGTAATGTGTGACCCTGGCTTCGTTAATATTGTCGAACTTATAAAACATATTAATATTCAAAATAAAAAGCATAAACATTGATTTTTCGGAAATAAATAATTAGTGGCATACGGCTTTTTAGAAGTTGTTTCAACTGTAGCAACAAATCTGTGTACGTCCAACGAAGGAATCAAAACAAAAAAGAAATATAAACAACAACAAAGTTGCACTGGTGGTTTGCGGAATAAAAAGCAACCTGCTCACACCACGACCAGCTAAATGGCCCATATGTCAGGCATACAGTTATCGAGGCACATCCATCTCTCTACCAATAAGGCAGCAAACATACGAAATAAAAATGCAATAAGTTATGTTAATTTTTTACGTAATTCCCCGTTTCGATTCAAATACTGGATGTGACAATTTGTCCACCGGTTAGTACTTTGTAATAAATTCACAAATTAAGTCTAAAGGGCAAATATGCCGAGAGTGTGGTCAGGAGAAGGACTGAAGATTACTAAAGATAGGTAAATTGTAAAGCAGGGATGTTATGGATATCCGTAACCGTAACCGAAACTATCGGATATCCGAAATTAAAAAATATCCCCTAACCGTAACCGAAACCGATTCAAAAGTTTCGGATAGTTTCGGATAAAGGCGGAGTTTAAATCTTAATATTTTTAATATTTCTTACTTATCTGACATCCCCTAGCACCATTCTGATACACCCGCCTGTTTTACCTTTATCATAGGTACCGTCATAGTACCTACATAAAGTCGCTATGTGAGTCGCGCAGCATCTTGCTATACGAATTTTATCTTTTAAAATTCTAATATCCGTAACCGAAATTATCCGAAACTTTCAGATAATCCGAAATGATTTACTATCCGTAACCGTAACCGAAACCGATATAATATTATTCTAATATCCGTAACCGTATCCATAACCGAAACTTCATATCCATAACATCCCTGTTATAAAGTATTTTTATTGCATAATGATTTACTTACGAGTACTATTAGTTAAAAATTTAGTCTCCGAAAACAGTGCAGACATCTGAAACCGGTTTTGCCCCACGTAATAATAAAAGCATCTTTAAAACGCCGATGTACGGGTGCCCTTAAATAGCAGCTTTGCAAGTTTGCAGGAAGTGGGCTCAAATGGACACCTCGAAAGCTCGCGATAAGCTCAAGAATTTAATAAGTCGATGAACTCACGTGGACCTCCATGTCAATATCAAATAACTGAATGACTGTTTAATTTGAGAATGATGTTATTTTTTATAAGAATAAGTACCTATTAGTAATTTGTAAATTTATATTTTTAGTTAAATTTTAACCCCTTGTAGTAAGCTATAAGCGGAGATCGAACCCGCGCTCGTCGGATCTCAATTCCACAGACATTGTCCAGTTCGTTCGTTCGTTTCAGCCAAATGACGTCCACTGCTGGACAAAGGCCTCCCCCAAGGTTTTCCACAATGAACGGTCCTGCGCTGCCCGCATCCAGGCTCTTCCCGCGACCTTTACCAGATCGTCGGTCCACCTAGTAGGAGGCCTGCCCACGCTACGTTTTCCAGCCCGTGGTCTTTTGTCCAGTACTATATTTAAATCTAATGCCTGTTTTCACCATAAAACAAAATTGCTGTTATTTGTTACCACAGACAGATGAGACATATCACTTAAAAATTAGGGATTGATGATGAAAACGGGCATAAATCTTCTAAATTTAAATAACTCAAAGGTGACTGATTGACTGACTGACATAGTGATCTATCAACGCACAGCCCAAACCACTGGACGGATCGGGCTGAAATTTGGCATGCAGGTAGATGTTATGATGTAGGCATCCGCTAAGAAAAGATTTTACGAAACTCTACCCCTAAGAGGGTAAAACGGAATCCACGCGTACGAAGTCGCGGGCGGCCGCTAGTAATTGTATACAGCCGTCTTTACACTACAAACTCTTTACAGGTGAATCGAAAAATAACCATTTTGAACTACTAATCTATAATTAATCAACATAAGTTAAAACATTGACATTTAGCAATTCAAGACCTGTTTAGTTTTTAGTCCATTCACTATTCAAATGCCACGTTTTCAGATGTAGTCATCAAGTTACAGTTGTTCGAACAAAGTGCTTATTAATAAACGTTATGCTTGACGGCTTGACCCTTACACATGACTACGAGTATATGCTTTTATTTTGGAAACTTGAGCGTTGACACATCTTACATAGTCTGAACATAATAACACAAAATAGAATAGCATAGAAATGGGTCGCCGGTCCTCGATCATCAGGTCTTTAGTCCCCGGTGCTTCTGCAGGAGACTAAAGACCTGATGATGGTGATCAGGGTTCATACATTTTCCGGATAAATTATTTATTGTTCACAAAATGCAGTCGGTAGTAATATTTAATTGATGTCTCCGACTGCATTTGTGAACACTAAGTTGTCTTGTTTTTATCTTTTTAGTTCATTTTTACGCAGTTTTAGTTTTTGTTTTTTCAATAATAATTTTATTTTAATCTTTTTAGTTAAGTACCTCAAATTATTGTAAAAGCCCTTTATTTAGATACCCCACTCGATAGGTTTTGTGAAAAAAAAATTTTTTTTTTGAAGACATTATGGCGTCTAAAATCCGCCATTTTGATTTTTTTTCAATTTTAGTATAGCCAGTGTCAAGACGAATCTAACGACACCTCTCACGCTAAAATCGGTCAAGCCGTTTAGGCTGTAGGCCGTGCCAAAGAAATATAAGTGCATACATACATACACTCGAAAAACATGACCCTCCTTCTGGCGCAGTCGGGCAAATACTGTGGTTTTTAACTCCGAAACTGAGTTGTTAGTGAAACCTGTAATCCTAGTGAAACTATTCTAGTATCTCTAGACAAGCTTTACTAAAATAGTGTCTATCCTGATAATATTCCTGCTAATACAGGTTCCATACCATTAGCATTCTCGTGTGAACTCGATGTTTTTGTAAAGCGGATCACGCCATCTGTTTTACAATCCATTACTTAGGTACCTACTTACTATTACTTAGAATTAGATTAACGATTAACGCAGTATTCACAAACGATGCTTGCTTAAGTGAAGCAGTAAATCGAACGCACAGCGTTGAATAGAGCTCTGTGATTGGTTCGCGTGTCACCCTGTGCGTCTACGCGCACTGTGAGACCTCATAGTGATTTTTGCGAATACGGGCAATGGGCATATGTCTCACCCAGTCCTTGATTTAGATTTAGTAAATCATAAAGCTCTCAGTATTTTATTACGCATTTAAATTGTCAACATTTGATTAAATAAAATTTAAAAGTACCCTACAGTAGGGTACCTACCAATGTAAATAAAACTGCACTATCTGTACCTAGGTAGGTACCTAATTTATATTTGGACACAAAACGTAAATTAATTCTTAGCAGTTTTAGTTATAATAATGTATGCGTGTTTATCTTGTTGACTCTGTCATAATCAAGGCAATTTTTACCATAACTTCAATAGGCATCTGTAAAAAAAATCTCATAATACCTTACCTACTCTTGTTTGTTTTCAGAATATCATACATAAATCAGATTTTTTGTCATTTTCTAAAAATACCGCTCATGATTCAAACGCCTGCGCATAATTTAAAGGCCAATATTTTATTAGTCGCGTGTGGCAACACCTGTTGAAGCAGGTGTCAACATATCGTGTTCGTTTGAAAAAACACCGCCAAGATGCTCCTGTGAGTGCACGAATGTTAAGGAGTCTCTTAATTTGGAAGTGCTGGGTTCCGTTCCCAGGTGAAACACTCAAAAACTAACAATGACTTTTTCAAACCAAAAGTATCCTATTTTCTTCGTTTTTAAAGGCTCCCCTACCATGCCACAAAGTTAACTGATAAACATTTGTTGATTTCCGTAAGGATATCCAATATACCACAAAACACTACAAAAGGTTAACGGAAAATGAAAATGAAAACTGTAAATGAAACCTGTTTTGAGACAAATAAATACTTTCTATTTCTATTTTTCTATTTTCAAAGATCCGTATTCACAAACAATACTATGAGGTCTCACAGTGCGCGTCGACGCATAGGGTGACACACGAACCAATCACAGAGCTCTATTCAACGCTGTGCGTTCGATTTGCTGCTTCACATAAGCAAGCATTGTTTGTGAATACGGGCGTAAAGGTCAGTTTCTCTGATTGAGAAAATACGCGGAAAAGGGTACGAGTCCATGAAGTCACTAATTGTTCAGCAAAAGGTTACTTAAGTACATGAAGTCACTAATTATATTACTTTTTCAAAGCTAAGCTAATTAATCTTAGAGTAGGCGCACACCGTTGATTTTTCGTCGGCCGATAGTTTAGTCGGGCAGTTGATCAGTATGGGCATGTATGGGAGTGCGCACACTACACCGATTCGATTTGGCCGATTTTTCATACAATTTAAAATCGGGCACAACTATCGGCCAACTAAAAAGCAACGGTGTGCGCCTACTCTTAAAGGAAATTGAAAACTGGTAAATTTTTCAGTGTTAATTTTTGAAAGAAGTTGTCTTGATTGGTTTAACTGGAGTATTTTGCTCTACAAACTTAGATATGTATACTGTATACTGCATCAAGATCGGGTTTATAAAAGTGTAATATCTTACATAAGTAAACATCACTGGAAGGACGTTGTCCGAGGAATAGCAAAAAGTTGCATCTGTTGTAGGGTGACCATGAAGTCGATAAACAGTAAACCATCGTACAATCCTCGATCACTGCTCTATCAGCGGTTTGGGTAGAACGACCTAGGTATATCAATCACTTCACCTGCTTCAAAGAGGGGTCCTGAAACTATCCATAATTTAGGACTTATTTTCTTTGGATAATGGCTCAGTTACACTATGCGGTAAATTGGCCGAGACGAAACGCGAGCACGCACATCGAAGTATGGACATGGAGAACACACGGCATAACTGAAGTGCGTTTACACTGACTCGATTAATTTCCCGCATAGTGTAACTGCGCCATCAGTGGCCAGGCATCGACACTCAAAGAACTTTTTATGTCGGCCGTTTGGTGTTCAGAACGGACTACTATGCCGAGAGGTCCCGGGTTCGATTCCCGGCCAGGCAGAAATTGAAATAATGAATTTTAATTTCTGTGACGGGTCTGAGTGTTAGTTACTATGTATTTAAAAAAGTACATAAATAGTAAATAAGTTAGCACCCATAACACAAGCATATTAATTGCTTACTTTATGGGGCTAGATGGCGCTGTGTGATATTGTCCAAAGATATTTTTATATTTATTTATTTATAAAATACGGAATTTTGTTAATGGAAACAGCATCAACCCATTCTGCGCATTTCTCTTGTCACTGAAGAAGATCGTCCCAGGAACTACAAGATTTGTGGTTACCCTACTACGTTGCACATCCAGGCGGTTCTAAGAATGTAGTAAGTCTGGTTACTACAGTACCTCTAGCATGAAACATTTTCGTCTTCGAATCGTTTGCGTATTCGAATTGCCATTGAAAGATTTAGTTTGAAAACTTAAAAAGAACTGCGTTCCTACGAGAACTAAACAATAGCACGAAAATGTGACATTTAGTGAGCGTTCCGCAAAGTGAACTTTGTATAGTTGTCCAACACTATGACATTGATAGGAAGGCGCTACTATCAATATTGGATTATTTAGTTCCATTTTTTGCCACGTTGGACAACCATATTCATGATTTACAGGAGGACGCTATGCTACTATTAATTCTGGGTTATTAAAAATTATAAATGGTAGCACCAAACTAATTTTGACAATCGAAATCGTCACGTTTCGCTGAACTCGAAAGCTGGGTATCGAATTTTCAATGTTGTAAGTAGTAAGAAGGTTGAATACGCAAACGATTCGAAGGCGAAAGTTTTTCGTGCTAGAGATATAGGCCGGCTCATTACTGCCGGGGACAAAACGTCTTCCCTAGACTTTTTGCAACTAACAATCTCTGGCTGAAATTAGAAACTGTGCTTTGACGACATCGCAGCCAAGTTTTAGATTATTATAAAGGGATTATTATTCAATTACCGGGAATTATCTAGCAAAGGATTGTTAATAATAATAAGGACCTGGGTTAAAAAAATAAGGTATTTATTCCCGTTATCCCCACCTGGCTTGGTAGATACAACGAAAATTTAATTAATTAAAATGTATTTATACAGGGTGGCCAGGGAGTTGATGTTCAAAGCTAAAATGGGTGGCCAGAGTGAGAAAAAAGTTAAAAACCAACCATAGGTGATAGAGTTTAACTCTATCTCTTATTAAACTAAGCAAAATCGTAGAACAGATACACCTTGATGTAAGGAATCTAAATTTTAGTTTTGAACGTCAACTCCCTGGCCACCCTGTATATTTTACTAGGTGGACCGACGATCTGATGAAGGTCGCTGGAAGTACCTGGATGGGGGTAGCGCAGGACCGGTCTTTGTGGAAATCCTTGGGGGAAGCCTTTGTCCAGCAGTGGACGTCATTGGGCTGAAACGAACGAAGGAAGGAAACTCGTCGGAAGAGAAAAACATTTATCGATATAGTAGGTAGCATGTCCCTTATTTATCACTTTGCCAGTCCATACATATTCGTATTACTGTGAGTACCTACACTGCACTGAGAACGTACCGTAAGTACAATCCCAACTAATATTATAAATTCGAAAGTAACTCTGTCTGTCTGCCTGTCTGTCTGTCTGTCTGTCTGTCTGTTACGCTTTCCCGCTTAAACCTCGCAACCGATTTTGATGAAATTTGGCATAGAGATAGTTTGAGTCCCGGGAAAGAACATAGGATAGTTTTTATCCCGGTTTTTGAAACAGGGACGCGCGCGATAAAGTTTTTCTGTGACAGACAAAATTCCACGCGGGCGAAGCCGCGGGCGGAAAGCTAGTCAATTATAAGACCATCTTCAAGCATGAATCCTACTAATACTTATTATATCCTACTTCCTACTAATATTATAAATGCAAAAATTTGGATGTCTAGATGTCTGAATGGATGTTTGTTAATCTTTCACGCAAAAACTACTGAACGGATTTTGATGAAACTTTACAGATTATTCTTTAGAACGCAGAAAAACATAAGGCTATAATTTATAACTATCTGTGATAAACTAAAGTTCACGCGGGTGAAGCCACGGGCAAAAGCTAGTAATCCATAAACTTAGAAAATGATGATGTGTTCTGCGAATTCTATTTAAATCTACAACAAACCGCGAATGTTTATTTGCACAGTACCTACTTATCTTTCCGTTTAACCTGCTGATAAATTAGTTCGCAGTTCTCACACGCAGCGCCATTTGTTCCGAATCAGTGTTGCCAGTTTGGTGCTTCTAGATACTAATTTAATTTGAAGATGTTTTTTTATTGCTCTACAAAAATATTAACATATCATAACTGCTTTATAGTGGAGAAATAAGTACCTAGTTTACCTAAACTAGTTTACCTCACGAAGCTCACCTGAGCTTCGTGAGGAATAAGTACTTACCTATTTTTTTGTGTTGTAAGTGTTACGTTTTTTGTGACATAAACGAATGAAATCTAGGTTATTCACTTTGATATAAAAATGTAGGTAATGGTTTAACGTTTTTAAATAAATAGAAGCTAGTTTTTGCTCAATTATTATAATTAATGAATAATTTTATTACGTTTCGTGGTTCGTAACGGACTCGGTAAGTAGGTACTATGTCAGAGTTCGTTGGTTCGATTCGATTCCATTTCCCACACAACAGTACAAAGTTACAAACATAATGCATTAACTTTTAATTTTGTTAATTTTTTTTTAATCTATACTAATATTATAGAGCTGAAGAGCTTGTTTGTTTGTTTACTTGAACGCGCTAATCTCAGGAACTACGATTCGAAAAATTGTTAGATTGTTAGGTATTGAGGAAGGTTTATTGCGACAACGGATTTTCACTAGTACGAAGTCGCGGGCACAGCTAGTTTATTATATTTAAGTACCCACTATACAAAACAATAGCCTGGCAGCTAAGTATCACTGCTGCTGTAAAAAATAGCCTTTTAATTAACTTAGAAAAGTCCGGTTTTCACATGCATTGTGACATTTTTTGGTAGTCTACATTCAACAATAAAATTGTTTAAACACCTGCCTATGTACTTAATTGTGATAATTGAATTAATATTCAAACAATGATTACTATTATTTACTAGCGGCCGCCCGCGACTTCGTACGCGTGGACCCCGTTTATCCCCTTTAGGGTTTTCCCGGAAATTGTTCGAACTTCTTAAATAAATAATTAATAAAAAATGTATTTCTTTTAAAAACTTCTTTTCTCTTTTAAAAACCATCCTTGGACTTCAACGAACATTTAAAAAAAGGAATTGGTAAGATTGAGTTGGTAAGCGCATAGCTTGCTTACCAACACATTTTGCGATTCATTTTTATTTATATAGATTTTAGTATTATTATTATTTTTTACTTGACAACACTGAATCTGTCAATTACAAGGGCACTCGGAGTCTCGGACTTGCCGCCGTTGCTTGCCAACTTCACTCTCTAATCTGTGTGGCTCACTTCACTTCGGTGGTTAGTCATTAATCTAAGGAGAATATGGTGCTTTCTTTTGTATTCTGTAAAATAAGGTAATATTTATTTTATTTTATTTTATTTGTTATCTTTATCATTTATGACCATATTTTGGAAGATCTTTAGTTAGACTCTATCTTTTGGTGAAAACTTCTTTTATAGAATTGATTTTAGTATCTTTACCTAGTTGTTCATTGTTACTTTGTCAAGGGGAATCCCCGAGTTAATGTAACGCATATAAATAAACCCTATTATTGTTATCGAAATATCGTTTTTATTATACCTATCCAAGCGATTATGATTAAATTGAGTTTCGTATTAAATAAAGGAACCAATTTATGTTTTAAAATAAGTATTTGCATGCTTATTGCTTATTATGTAGATTTAAACGGACAATATTACTGTAAGTACAACAAATATTTTTTACTAATTGTAATTAGGTAAATATTTATAAGTACCTACACACAACACATAGTCTCAATAATGTGGCTTGGCCATTTGTTACGCTAATCCCGGTTATCAACACTGGCTTTGTCGCCACTGAGGATAAATGGGCAAAATAATCCCGATTGTCACCAGTGACCAAGTGAGAACAGCAGCGGTTTCGGTTACGGTTACGGATATCCATAACATCCCTGTGCGACATCATTCGTGGGATCTACGACGAGCAAGCGAAACGATACCTACACGACATTGCAACGCGCAATATTATTTTTTTAAGTAGGATTAATAATGAATTGTAGGCAAACTTTATAATTGTTGATTCCTATTATTAACAGCCTCGATTACCTATTACTTACGTATAATATTTTATGATAATACTAAGTATAAACTAGTAGAATAACGATATGATAATATGATAATCTATGCAATGAGTAAGAGAGCAGTCACTGCACCACCTAGTACCTACCTATTCCTGCCGGGCTAGGATGCGCGCCGTGATAAAATCTTATCGATGATTTTAGACGGCAAATGTATGGGCTTATCGCGCAAAAAATGGATAAAATGCGATAAAATGGCGCGATAAACGCTTATCGCGGCGCGCATCCTAGGCCTACAGATAGAGTATGTAGTATACATAATACAGGTTGCTGATTTCAATCCTCGTCATATTTATGGAGGTAAGTTTGCGCAATACCTGTAAATAAGTAGTTTGTGTTAGTTCACCCGGGAGAGCGACTAAATCAAGGTCAATACGCATGCACGACTCTATGCTTACAATTTGGTGTAGCGAGCGATAGTAGGTATCATAGTAGGTAAGTATGCCGGATGATTCAAACAACAAAGTGTGGTTATGAATAAATTATAGTTGATTTGCCTTTAGGTTAGTTACAGGTTCTAATGTGTATTCTGTACAGGTACTAAGTAGGGCATGAATATCGGAATCTCGGAATCTCGTAATATCGGAATCTCGGACTGCGATATCCGATATTTCAATTCCGATATTGAGCGACCCAATATCGTAATATCGGAATCAGATAAAAGTTTTAATTGAGGTTTTAAACAAAGCGTTTAACCTCGCCACAACCTGCCACAAAGCCCAAAGTACATGATTGGCAAAGACCAATGATTTTCTCATGTCTCTCACCATCACTTTTTGTTCCACTGCAAATATTTTAATATCTTTACTTTATGGTTAATTTAACTTGTTTCAAATCAATTTTAGCATTTGCCATAGGTACGTGGTTAACAAAGAACGACATCTCAACTCCCTTTCAAACATTAATTTTACTACTATGGACTATGGACCGTCAGTTCTGCGTACTATGTGTCCTGCCCATTGCCACTTCAGCTTGCTAATCCGTCGGGCTATGTCAGCGACCTTAGTTTACGGAGCTCCTCATTTCTGATTAGATCTCGTAAAGAAACACCAAGCTTATCCCTGTCCATAGCACGTTGTGCCCTATATTCAAAGGCCACGCTTTCGAGCCGTATATCATCACTGGTAACACACACTAATTGAAGACTTTCGTCTTTATATTAGACGATTTACCTCTTTCTCGAAATTGCATCTAACTACCTAGCTGATCGTTTGTCCGAGATAGATATACTTACTTGTCAACAATCTCTAGAACCGAGCTCCTAACCGAAACTGGGTAAGGAGCAACATGGACATTCGACATAAGCTTCGTTTTTTCCATATTCATCCGAAAGCCTACCTGTTGGGAAACTCGATTAAGGTCTTCGAGTATTGTGATAAGGTCTTCCAACGGTTCTGCCTTAGTACGAAAAACAGACGGACGATGAGGCAGCAAGGTTCTGAAGTGGAGGCCACGTACCGGAAAGCGCAGCGTAGGACTCATAACCACCAGGTGGACCGACGAACTCATAAAGATAAAGGTAGCAGGAAGGCGCTGGATACAGGCCGCCACCAAACGGCCATTGTGAAAATCAGCATCGGAGCCTGTGTGTTCAGCAGTGGACGTCCTATGGCTGACATATGGCTGGCTAGTGGTTTTGTGAGTTGTACATCGATAATCAAAGAAACAAATTACAAGCATATTCAAGTTTTTTACCACTATCTACAATTTTTGTAACACGTGATTTGAATGACTCTAAAATTCGTTCCACCAACATAAAACAGGGTAATATAATGAAGGAGTAAAAGTTTGTTTGATACCTGTGATTTTACAAAAACACTTTAATTATTTGCTAGTCCATATAGGCTCATTATCAGTAACCATTCATTATCAGGTGATCCGTCTGCTCGTTTGCCTCTTGTCACATAAAAAACCAAATGCAATGGATACCCATAACGTAAAAATGGTTTTAAAATACTTCAATTTTATGAAGTGCTGTTTTGCACCAAATAAAAGATTTTGACTAAAATCATTCTTTTATTGTAAATAATCCAGAATTCTTACGAATATAACCAAATATTAATTTTATAGCACATGAACTCAATTCCGATATTAATATCGGAATTCCGATATTGAGATCTAATATCGGAATCCAATATCGGAATTTAAAACCTTCCGATATTACATGCCCTAGTACTAAGTCTAACTGTAGGACTAGTGTCCGAATTAGTGCACGGGATGGTGTTTTTTGCAATGCTATGTTCCATAACAGCATAAACTAGGTACAATAACAGTAAACATTATAGTAAAAACAATAACAAAACAAAAAATAGACAAACAACACTGGAGGTAGGATAGCCCTCGGAATATAACTGGAGTTGCATGGATAACTAAAGATAAACTGGTATAAAGCCCCAGCAAACCATATGATGACAAGCGCGCCGCGAGACAAATAAGATTCGCAGTTAGGGTTGCCAGGCGTCCGGCTTTAGCCGGACATGTTTGGCTTTTTAGGGACTTGTCCGGCCAAATATTGCCTTGTCCGGCCTGTCCGGCTTTTGTTAGGCTCTTTATTCGGTTGCCGCGCCAGGCGAAAGTCGAGCCACAGAATCATATGAAGCGCACGCATCAGGATGTTGGTTAGCAACCGATGATGATAGTACTCACTCATGAGCTGACCTGACACTAATTCACTAATTGCACATTAGGGTAAAATGTCCGGCCAAATGAAGCACACAAAGTCCGGCTTTTGTAATTTTGGACCTGGCAACCCTATTCGCAGTGACGACAGGATAGGCTATCCTACCTCCAGCTTAGGTTTTTTTTTTCGTTTTTTGTGATGTTATTGTTCACTGTTATTGTAGTTATTATTGAATACAGGGTTGGAGGAGGCCTTTGTCCAGCAGTGGACGTCACTTGGCTGAAACGAACGAACGAACAGAACCCCAATTTTTAACGTCTCCAGACGTGCTTCATCGATTCTGCGATACGATTGGTCAAAACAGCTGACGTACGCTGTTTTGATCATTACGCTGACCAATCGTATCGCAGAATCGATGAAGCGCGTCTGGATCGGAGACGTTAAAAATTACCGTAATCGGGGCTCAGGGTACCTAGTTGCTGCTCGCTTGTTAAGATGTTTTCACCTCCCCGCGTCCCTCATTAGTTCAGTTGCAACAATAACAGGTTAGGGATGCGTTGTTTCGGTCTTCATGCTACCTGCCTCTAAAACAATAACAAGTAACGTTTGGAACATGAGTTTTACTTACAAATATTATCTTTTTGCTTTGACTGAAATGCTACATTTCAACCTTGTGTAGTGACTCAGATATTAGAACTAATAGTCAGGCGGGTTTAATACGCCTAGTATTGTTAGTAAATAACATAACAGACTCAATTATGAATAAAAAAAATCAGAAAAACTTAGAAGTGGATTTAATCTATTACCAGATTTACGAAGCACACATCAACCCGGAAACGGATCGTAACCGTTTTAACTGGAGGCGGTCAGTATAATTTATGCCTAATCAATTTTTATTTATTTTCCAGATATCAATAAAATAACAGGGGGTGATTGGCAGTTAATTTAAATCTCATTTGGCCAACTATTCAGTGAGTAAATTTTTAATACTTTGCTTAGCTTTGAATTTGATTTCGTCCATAATACTTCGGTGTATGTGCTTGCGCTTCATCCTGATCAATTTCGCACATAGTGTAACTGAGCCATATTAATAAGTGTTTTCACACAACACAATTGTGCAAAAAAAAATAAAACCGACTCCAAAAAACCTACACTAAAAAGTGGAAAAATAATTACTAATTTCCTACTTATTTATTAGGACGAATTAATATTTATGTAGGTACTAGCTTTCCGCCCGCGGCTTCGCCCGCGTGGAATTTTGTCTGTCACAGAAAAAATTTATCGCGCGCGTCCCTGTTTCAAAAACCGGGATAAAAACTATCCTATGTTCTTTCCCGGGACTCAAACTATCTCTATGCCAAATTTAATCAAAATCGGTTGCGAGGTTTAAGCGGGAAAGCGTAACAGACAGACAGACAGACAGACAGACAGACAGAGTTACTTTCGCATTTATAATATTAGTTGGGATACCATGATTGATAGGTACTTCTGGAGTCGGTGCCAAGATTATGAAATATGTAAAGTTTGCCTGCACCGACTCCAAAAGTATCAATCATGGTATACCTACATAAATATTAATTCGTCCTAATAAATAAGTAGGAAATTAGTAATTATTTTTCCACTTTTCAGTGTAGGTTTTTTGGAGTCGGTTTTTTTTTTATAAAATTTTACTTATTTCTTGCTTTTTAGTTAACTAATTATTACCTTGATGTTACCACTGAAGGTAGGCAGTACATTGACACCATATTCTTCATGTCTAGTGTAAATAATATTCCATACAAAATACAGGTTACCATGTAGGAAACCTAAAAGACCTTAAACCGTCAGCCCACCTTAAAAACATGAAAGAATACAACTGTTGGTCTGTTTGTACTTATAATATTTAAAGAATTATCCTCCAACTCCTAAGCATTAAGGAGTTTTACCTTCTATCATCAGCTCATCAATATGAGATTATGATTTCCAGGAGCAAATACTTGAATAACTTAAGAAAAAGTTTGAAAAACGATATACGTGCCTATAAAATTTGAGGGTTGCCCTCAATTTCCCTAGGATCCCATCATCAGATCCTGACTTGGTGACAATGGGACCACCTCAAAAGTGTACCCTATCGAACAAAAAAATAATTTTGAAAATCGGTCCACAATTGACGGAGTAATCGGTGAACATACATAGAAAAAAAAATACATACAGTCGAACATATAACCTCCTCCTTTTTTGAAGTCGGTTAAAAAAACGCAAAATGTAGTTAAGACCCCTTTTTTTAATTGCCACTTGTAAATGTATTACTATTAGCCCTCATTACCCAATTCTCGCATAAGACCTATGAGAAATGGGAGTGGCTGAAAATCCGCGCAGCCCGAGTATTTTCAGGCAATTAGCTGAGCCACCTCCAATTGCTTCCATAAACTATGTCAATCAATCAACAATATTATTGTTGGTGCGTCCAGACTGGGTGAATTTGTCACGCAAGTCATCCTGCTCACTATGCTCTTAAGCGGGCAGGATGTTGAGTTTGCCGCGCGAGCAAATTCGAGGCTTCCGGCGACTGGGACCGCAATTAACTAGGACCGCGGTCCCAGTCGCCGGATCCATAAAAAAATAATAATTTTCTTCCGGCGACTGGGACCACTCATAGATAACTTAAAAGAAAATATTATTCAATCTAAAATTGGTACAGTACTAAAATCCATGAGTGGTCCCAGTCGCCGGAAGAAAATTATTTAATTTTTACGCATCCGGTGACTGGGACCGCGGTCCCAGTTAATTGCGGTCCCAGTTGACGGCTAAGTTGTAGAGCAATAAAGGACTTAATTAATTTATTTATTTAATTCTTACAGAACATGAAGGGGATCGGTTTTGAGCTTGGCAAATCATTAGGGCCTTTGGGCATAGCTGCGGCTGTCGGTGCTGGTATAATGATGGCTGCAAATGCCAGTGACGCTATGGGATTTAATGATGCTTTTTCAAGTAGGCAACAGTTTAGAGTATCATCAAGCCACGTAGAAGAAGAAGAGGAAGAAGAAAAGAAGTAAGAACTTTTGAAGTAACTTCTTACTGAATATGGATTAAAATATGAGCTCGTAGTACCCAAATAATACACGTACTGCTTACCTTCGTTCGTAAATATTCCGACACTTTATTTTATTATGGCTTCATTAAATTTTAACATTTAACGACTGTGATGTAATGGATGAATATTATTTAGACGATGTTGCACTGTTTCGTTTTATTGCCTACATAAATCCACAAACACAAAATAAAACTAAACTGATAAATAAATAAAACATCGTTTCAAATAATAACTACTAATAAGTTATTTAAATTAAAGTTATCTAATACTCGTACTTACATAATACCTACTATGTTTATCAATTTTGTGACGTAAAACTAACTGATATGAATTAACAACATTATAATTAATATAATATGTAGAATTCGATTAGTAGTTACGATAAGTTAAACGCTTTTAGAACGTCGCAACACAACGACGCAAGGCGCCCCCTTGTCAGTGCAATGTTAAGATTTTGACAAAGCTTTAAGTGAATACCTAAGTGCAAAATGTAAGTGAAGTATCTAATTAATTTCACAAATAATTATTTATGTAATGGCGCAATTAAACTATACGGGAAATTGACCGTGACGAAGCGCGAGCACGAACACCGAAGTATGGACGACGCACGGCGAAAGTAACTGAAGTGCGTGTCCACACTATTATCTTCATCAAATTCCCGCTAGTGTAACTGCGCCATAACAAACATGTCAATTTTATATTTTAAAAGCTGGCTCGTTTTAGTTAAACCATCATTTTTACTAGGTCAATCAGTAACCATTCGGTCATTCAGTTGAATTTGATAAACAGAATCCATTCAAGTTACGTCCAACAGGTGTGTTGCCTATTTCTATGCAAAATCTATGAATAATCAACGCAACGTTTTAACTGCTGCCATTTTGCCATTTCTTAGGCCCAATTTCACCAACAAACGATATTAACAAACATAGGTTCAGAGCTGTAGTTTTCATGCCAATTGTTTAACACAAAATAATTTAGTTTGTATTTAAAAAAAAAAACTATAAAAAGAGCGTTAACGACTAGCGGTGCGCTTTCGTTTTTTTTTAATCAAATTAATAAACATGACAGTTAACTATCCGTTGCCATGCGATCTCTTTTTAAGTAACAGCTCTCAACTTATGGCTGAGTTGCATCACCTTAACTTTAACCGTAACTATGACTTTAAGCATGGAATGCAATAAAGATATTGACAATTTAACCAGTTTATTTAGTATGGAGTTTTACAGAAGATGGTGCAACCCAGTCGTTTTTTTAATCGTTTGTTGGGATTCGTGTGTCACCAAACTAAACTACCCAACTGAGGCCTCCGCCAAGGCGGAGCGAAGCGGAGACGAGATGTGCGGCGAAGCTGGCAGGCTATTTCCCCCAAAGCGGAGCGGAGTCGAGAGGAGATGCGGAACTGTCAGTATACAGGGTGGAAACGATAAGTGATCTCACTCGATTATTTCTAAACTATACAAGATATCAATAAATTAGTTAATGACCCTGAAAGTGCTTCATGAGCTCTATCAAACGGTATTAATAACAGGTTACAGAATAAACTGGATCTATCCGAAAATTCAATGTTTCCAGTTTCCATACATTTGGTAAAGTCACATTATTTTAAAAACTACACATGATATCGTAAAACTGATTACTGATTCTAAAAGTGCTTCACAAGCTCTATCCAATGGTATCAATAATAGGTTACAGAATAAACTGGATCTGGAATGTTTCCTTCTTCCATACATTTAGTACTACCACACTGATGACACCCATCTCTTGACAATATTATAGCAAGTAAAGCCTAAAACCAATGTTTTTCATGAATAATTTTAAATTTGAATACAATTTACGAGTTTATTTTAAGAGTTTATTATAAAATTTAAAAAAAATACACTTCTAATATTGTGTGTCTGGCATACATTTAGTATGGAAGCTGGAAACATTGAATTTTCAGATAGATCCAGTTTATTCTGTAACCTATTATTGGTACCGTTTGAAAGAGCTCATCAAGCACTTTCAGGATCAGTAACCAGTTTTTCAATATCGTATATAGTTTAGAAATAATCGAGTGAGATCACTTAACGTTTCCACCCTGTATTGCTCTCTATGAAAGGAAAACGCACTCCGCACCGCTCTGCTCAAATGAGTCCACGCGACATTTCTCCTCTCTTCTACGCGCGAATCGGAGGAGATCCGGAAATAATGAAATCCGATTGGTTATTCAAAACGCTTCTCTGCTCCGCTCCGGTCCGTCTTGACGAAAACCAGGCCTGAACTGTTACGATTACTTCGCAGGCGAAAATTGAAAGATGTAGTAGTAATAGGGTGCGGCGCTGCCGGGATTGCTGCCCTGAGCAAGCTGCAGGATGCCGGCTTGGACGTGGTGGGTTTAGAGGCAGCGTCTAGGATCGGTGGACGAATCCGCACCATTCCCTTTGCGGATGGCGTCGTCGACCTCGGCGCAGCGTGGTAAGCATATCCTTGGCGCGGATTCCGTTTAAAAACTACCTAAATATCACCCAGGTGAGCAAGTGGAATTGTTAGCACTTTATTCATCTGGGCGAAGAAAGTGGCATTTTTAGTGTCCTCATTTCACCTGGGAACCATTTCAGCCTTCATTTTCTTGAATTGAGTCGACTAAAGCGGTCGCCTTTGTTCACAGGCGCTGGATGTAGTTCGCTATCAATCGGACGATGTGAAAATCATTGGGGACGCCTATGTTCAGCAGGACGTCCTGTAGCTGAAATGATGATGATGATGATATAATATTCGTCTTACAAAACATTTGCCAGTTTACCGTGTATTAGCCTTATTTTGTAACTAACAAGTTAACTACCAAAACAACTTTACTTTCAGGTGCCACGGCGAAACAGGAAATAAGGTGTTTGAATTAGCCAATCCTCATGACCTTTTGGGCAGACCCGGCAAAGAAGAAGTCTGGTATATATTTTCCAACGGCACCCTTATGCCAAACGGGAACGCAAATACTATTGTCAACGAATTCAAAGACGCTGAGAGAGACGCAAATGGAATTGATAAGAGGTCCATTTCGAAGTGTATTGACGAAAAGTAAGTTGATGCAATCATCATTAATCGTTAATTGTAACTGTTTGCAAAGTCACGTTAGTTTTAAGTTCGAAGGCAAGGAACATGCGTTTATTCATAGCTGGGCACCGTTAATCAAATAGTTAACTTCGTTAATCGTTAAACCGTTAATAAAAAAATTAACTTCGTTAAACGTTAAACCGTTACATTTCGCAAGATTTAACGCAAGTTAACGTTAATCGTTAATCCGTTAACACATGATAATAAAACGAAAAAAGTAATTGAATGCAAGGTTCAAATAATTTCGAAAGCTTGTATCGCGCATGGAATTTATTCCTCTTTTAAATTTGCGCTACAAGCTTTCGAAATTATTGGAACCTTGCATAAGTAGGTACAATTATTTTTTTCGTTTTAGTACAACTGCATTTCAGAATAAAAGCTTGTTTTTAATACGTTTTTTAATTACATATTATAATTTTATTTTACACTTTTTAGTAGTATCTCATTCTCAGAGCCTTGGTTCAATTACAATACAATTTAGCACCAAAGTGCTCGAAAAGACAAATCCAGCAAACCCAAACTCGATAAGTTTCCACCCCTTCAGATTCAGAATGTCCAATTCTCAAAATGTCCAATTCCTGAAATGTCCAGTTCCCGAAACTACAATTCCCAAAATGATGGGTTTGTTAAATAAGTCCTCATAGGCTTTCTTAAAAATATTTAACAATTAACCATACTTAAATTTAAATAATCATTTATTTATTTACAAATTATTCTTTCCTTTTTAGGTCAATAGAAAAAAATATATATAACTATAATACATACTTGTACGAGTATAAAGTGCAGTAGCTACAAATTTTTTCTACGTACTTTTTGCAAATAAGTAATACAAATTTTCTATGTTTATATGCCGATTTTGCAAAAACTAAACGCATTCGTACAGAAATATATTAATTACTAATTTTTAAGAAAGGCTATGAGGACTTATTTAACAAACCCATCATAATAATAGATTGGACATTTTGGGAATTGGACGTTTCGAGAACTGGATATTTCAGGAATTGGACATTTCATTAATTGGACATTTTGGGAATTGGACATTCTGGGAATTGGACATTTTGGGAATTGGACATTCTGAACCTGAAGGTTTCCACCGTTTTGTTTAGGAATTCCTATGGCCACCTCCTGACTCCATCATCAGGACCCTGGACGTCATCTACTACTAAAGTGCTCGATAAGACAAATCCAACGAACCCAAATTCGATGCGTTGCCGCCGTTTCATTTAGGAGTTCCTATGGCCACCTCATGACTCCATCATCAGACCAGCTCAATGGTACTATAACAATGCATTGTCGTACTTACATAAGTATACCAAATTTCAGCTCAATCGGTTCAGGAAAACTGGTCTTAAATTCAATTGCAAGAGTTGTCCCACACATAGGTACTAACAAGTGTCGTTAGTGATCTGGTTACAAAAACTGTTGTTTTGGGTTCTGGAAGTTCTGGAAGCCCAAACATACTTGTCAGAACGCGTTTTTCTAGCGTTTTTCAGCGTGCCTGCTGTATCTTTTTGGTAAATAGTAGGTACCGGATTAACGATTAACGGACTTAAGATAATTTAACGGAAGTTAACGAGTCCGTTAACATTTTTTAAAGTTAACTTAAAAGTTAATCCGTTAATAGAAATGTTAACTTCGTTAATTAACGATTAACGGATTAACGAGTTAATGCCCAGCTATGCGTTTATTATTGCTATTTTTACTATTTGCTTTGTTTCCATACACTTTGAAGCGTTTGGGTTGTCTCTACCAATGTAATTCATAACAGAAATTTGACTTTTTATTGTAATTCAAAATTAATACTTACCTACTACTATTGATTTTTTACTTACAGAGTGGGTCGTAAGTCCATCGTTGATCCGGGAAGAATTCCAATAACCGCGCCGTTTATTGAATGGTACAAAAGAGATAACCACCTGGGAGGGCAAGTCGATCCTAAAGAGGGGAAGTCCCTTAGAAACCTTGTGGAAAATGAGACTTGTCGCGGGGAGTTCTGGCTCAATTGGAAAGGAAAGGGCTACAAGACTATTCTAGACGTTTTGTTGGTGATTACTTATTTTTTAATCTCCTTAAACCTCCTGTTTTTTTTTCGGGTTTGACGCAGACCGTACCATTCGCATTTTGTTCCAATCGAAAAATGATGGTCACACACAGATAAAGTTGAAGCCTACCATTTTTGAAACAATAGTTCAACTTGCAGGTTGAAAAAGTGTGACCATTTTGCGAATGGGACCAAATGCGAATGATGTCAAACGAGACGAGTCGTGTACGTTACGGATGATAAAGCGTTACCTACTGGTGATTTAATACATTAGTTATAGAAGGTTGCGATTTTAATAAAGTATATTTATTTTTTTAGAAAAAATATCCTCATTCGTCGAAGTCCGAACCTGAGATATTTCTGAATACCAAGGTGAATTCTGTAATTTGGCAACTGGAAGACGATACCAATGACAATAAACCGTACGTGAAAGTAATTGCGAATAACATGACGATCGAGACGAAGTGTGTTATCATCACTGTCTCAATTGGGGTCCTTAAAGAAAGGTAACGTAAATTCAATAGACTAGTTTTCTAAAAAAAATTAACACGTATATTTTATTTGTCAATCAAACAAGTAATTACAAAGTTATGGTGCGTTGAAATTCCGCGTGACGTCACAAAGTGCTACACTTGACGTCACGGTCCCCTTCATTTAATTTTGAACTTGGGCGTGCTTTATCTCTTACAATTTTCATTACTTTGTAACAGTGAAAAATATTTGTTGATTTTCTGATAAGTGACGGACTAATTCTAAATATTACTTTTTTTAGTCAGAAAACATCCCTATTCCATCCTATTCTGTGTAAAACATCGAGTTTCATGATTCACGGCATTGACAATGAATCAGTAAATTAATTGAAAAGTAGACTCTTTTATTGAAATATACATACGTATTTAATTCCTTTTTCTAGCCACAGTAAGCTGTTTATGCCCATGTTAGAGCCGGAAAAAATCAGTTGCATAGACAACATCGGTTTCTGCGTGTTGGATAAGATTTACATAGAATTCGCGAGCACATGGTGGGGTCATTCACCCGCTAATTTCAACGTCATATGGAAACAGGAGGACAAGAATGATTTTTCCGAGATTGATCAGTGGGTGACAGAAATATACGGACTGAGGACAGTTGAACACCAGCCGAATGTACTCTTGGCTTGGATCTACGGAGAGGGGGCGAAGAAAATGGAAGGGAAAGATGACCATGAAGTAAAAAGTGGCATCGAAAAATTTATGCAACATGTATTTAGTTTAAACTTCAAAGTGTCGGCGATTAAAGGAATCATAAGGTAATAGAACACGCTAATAAAGCTAGTTTCATAAAACTTTTTTCCAGGAAAGATCCCGTCATTCTGACGCCCGTATTCACAACTCCTCATATGTTCTTCTGATTAATTTCGTTGCGGGTCCAATAACAGTTTAACTTTTCCCCGGGACAAACTTGACCTTCATTGGTTGGGTTTTTGTGGCGGTCAAGCTGTAGATCCTGGCTACACAGGAGTTGCAGTAGTGGGAACGAGAGGTGGGAATAGTCCCGCCCGTATTCACAAACATTACTATGAGGTCTCACAGTGCGCGTGGACGCACAGGGTGACACACGAACCAATCACAGAGCTCTATTCAACGCTGTGCGTTCGATTTGCTGCTTCACTTGAGCAAGCATCGTTTGTGAATACGGGCGTAAGTAAAGCAAAGAACCCACTGTGGCGGTGGCACTCCTAGCACACCTAGGGTGCGAAATACCGTTCTTTGATTCTTCAACTCGATTGTATTGACGTGTCCTATACTTATTTTTGGTAATTATTGGGCGCTGCAAAGTAATGTGTCGTCATCATCATCATAAATCATTATATTAGGACGTTCTCCAATGATTTCCTTAATAATCGTTTGGTAACGGCCTGCATCCAGCGCCTTTCCTGCTACCTTTATAAGGTCGTCAGTCCACCTTGTGGGCGGACGTCTTACGCTGCGCTTTCCGATACGTGGCCTCTACTCCAGAACCTTGCTGCCCAATCGCCCGTCAGTTCTGCGCACGTAATTATGTTGCTGTCGCGCTCGCACACTCACTGCGGGCGCGCGTCGCACAGTCGCGACAGCAATATAATTACGCGCGAGCGATAAGGATGGGTAGCTTGGGGTCATTGGACGGGATTTTACGTGCTCACGGACCAGGCTTTAGTTCGTTTATGACGTTTACGTTTAAGTAATGTGTGATCTCCGGAATTTCAGGTCCCAGTGGTCTAGAGACCCATTAGTTCGCGGCTCGTACTCGTACCGGAGTGTGGCCACGGAAGAAGCCGAGGCCAGTGCGGCAGGCCTCAAGAAACCTCTGAACTTTAAAGGCAAGGCGGTCGTATACTTTGCTGGGGAGGCCACTTCGGAAAAACACTACAATTCGGTCCACGGAGCAATAGAATCGGGATTCCAGGCTGCCGAGGATGTGATGCGAGCGCCTCCGTTTTAAAAATTTACCATTTAAAGCCACGATAGCCGAACGGCGAAGGGGTCGGACTGGCCGACTCGACATCCGACGAACGCGGGTGCGAATCCCGACACTCGATTATTGTGATCCCACTACACAAGAGGGGCTAGACAAGTTGCACTTTTTGATCGAATCGAAAATCGAATCCGTCATAACTCAATACAAAATAGGCCTTTCGACCATTTTTCGACTGGTTTATGATTATAATGTGCACTTTGTCTAGACCCAAAGCATAGCTTAGTACGAGGGGCTAACTAATATTATTTTTCTTTTTGAAAGGGCCAAAGAAACGACCAAATAAAATATTTTGCGCAACCCATTTTGAATCTTGTCACTATTAAAATAGAGATCGGATTTTCGGAAGTATAACTCTTAAGCCAGCGGTCGGCAACCTACGGCTCTTAAATTAAATTTAATTTTACTATGAAATCCCTTAAAATCTAAAATCCTCAGTGGTGCAATCCCTTTCAACACATCTCTAGGTTCACTTCGGTTGTCCTTAGTTCTAACTCGATTGACAATAAATAGAAAACGGATAAAAATATATTAGAGGTTCAATCACTGTAAGTACTTGGAAAGGACATCATCCATTTTTGTCCAAAATCAAAAGTGCCGACCAAAAAATAAAAGTGCTAAAAAAAATTTATGAATCGTCGATGAATTTGAGATCTCAAATACTCGAAGTACAGTGGTGCTACAGCTTTGGTGCCATAGTAACAAATGCTAAGGCGGACGTATTCTGTCAGAATACAGCACTTTTTTTTTATTGGCCGACAGTTTTGATTTTGAACAAAAAATGTATGAATAGTCGATGACTTTTAGATCTCAAATACTCGACGCACAGTGGTGCTACAGCTTTGGTGCCATAGTAACAAATGCTAAGGCAGACGTATTCTGTCAGAATACAGCACTTTTTTTTGTTGGCCGGCACTTTTGATTTTGGACCAAAAATATATGAAACGTGGATGATGTCCTTTTAAATGATCTCTAGCTAGTCTATTTAGACCAAAAATATTACATATTTTTTACGGGATGGCGTCACGTCAGTTAAGCTTTATTTTATGTAGTTGTAATGTTGTGCTTTTTTGCTACATACATACATACATACAGATAATATTTTTTATATTTCAACTGCTTTTAATAAATATATTTTTGATATTTTTTATATTGTTGACGTACCTAAATGCAATAATAATGTATTTTCTTAAATAATGACTACACTCGGCGTCAAATAGATCGCACCTCCCACGACAATTATTTTTAAGATTTTCTTCTAACACAAACATGGTTCACCATCAATATTGGTATCATTTGAAAGCCCAATAAATAAACTTAAAGAAAAACACATTTAATTTCTTAAACGATTAACATGTACCATAAACGTGACTTGAAAAAATCCAATGTTTTGCCTCATCTCTGGGACTATCCAGACCAATTTTCGTGGTTATAAAACCAAATAATGATCTCACGTATCATCTTTAACAGATGGAGAGATTAATTCCAATTTAACAGTTTTATAACCATAAAAGTTCAAATCAAATCAAATATATTTATAATAATTAGGTATTACTAGTTTTTTTGCTGGTCTACTACGAAAATTTTTCAAGTCAGATGTTTGTTCGCTTGAACGTAACTACTTGTCACTTTAAGAAGAGACTGGATCCTTCTAAACACGCATTTTTGGGGTTTCTCAACCTTAAAAAAGCTTAGAACAAGGCTTTCAAATGATACCAATATTGGTGGGAAGTGGGGATGTATACGCTTGAAAGTGTTTTTCGCGGGTGGTGCGATTTATTTGACGCCGAGTGTAGGTGTTAAAATGTTTGAATGTTTTTACAAGTAAGTGTAGTGAGTGTAATCACAATATGATGGTGCTTTTTTTATATAATAAAACATATTAGTATTGGAATTATATTTTTATTTATTAATAATTATTAAAATGTACTTTTTGAAGATTAAAATAGTTTTCTAAAAGAAACAATATGAGTTATATTTGTGTGCAAAAATCAAATTTTATAAACAAATATCATTAGGCAATTATGAAAAAAATAATATTTATTATTATTACAAAACAGAAGAAGTTGGTAAAACTTAATTCATAGCAAAAAATATTGCATTTATCACTATTATTATTATTATTTAATATCACTAAAATTGTGAGTATCGCATTTTTAATATACTTACCTACTTTAAAATACAAATCTTTCGATTACGTAACCAACAATCACAGCTTACAATAAAAAATAGTTACAAAATTATAATTATTATTATGACGAAACCAGTAAGTAAATAAAGAATCTCAAAATGGAAAGGACCATTTTTCGATACCTTCAGAAAGCTAAAAAACATTGCAGATGGCGCTTTTTGGACCATAATACCAAGTTTTAAGGTACATATTTCACTGAAATTATCTTTTGTTCTTTACGGTCACTGTAAGAAAAAAAATCACTCTCGTGCAATCGTACCCAAAAACTAATAATATTTTTTTAATTTGATTCATAATCGAATAATTACAGTATTACATTGAGTTGAAATATCGCGTGACGTCACTTTTGAGTAAAAATTCTACTCAAGCGTGACGTATCGTGCCATTTCAACTCGATGTAGCACTGTTGGTATCCTTCCGTTTGGCCAAATTACTTTTCGCCAAATTTCACTTCGCAAACAACTTATCGCCAAAGTTTTATTTCCCAAATAAACTTTTAGCAACTGTACTTTTCGCAACTAATTCATTTGGTCAAATTAACATTTGGCCAAATTTTACTTGGCAAATGTTTATATAGCAAATGTTTTATTTTGCCAAATATTATATCCCAAATAATTTGCTTGGTCAAATTGACACTTCACATACTTACGAAGTTACGAGTACCCACCGTTACCCACAAATCAAAGCATAAGGCACATGGTTATGGTTTTCACAATAATTTTATGTAAAACAGAGAGATTGCAGAAAATAGTATGGTTGCAAAAAGTAGGTCTTGTAGAAAATAGTAGGTTAGGTTAGGTTAGAACAGTGACCCTTAATGCGCGAAGGCGAGCGAAGCGTGCCGCGGCAGCGGCCGCCGAGCGCTAGAATCATCTCTATTGTTAATGAATCATTTGGAAATTTCGATAAAAAGAATGAAATATGAAAATTTATTTACAAAAAAAATTATATTAACTACCCACTAAACAAAATAATAACCACAAGCTAATTTGTATTCCATTCTATGCACCAATCAAATTGTTTTGTAAATAGTTTATCGTGAAATATTTTTGCCAAATAAAACATTTGGCAAAACATACTTTGCCAAACAATAATTTGCTAAACAATAATATGCCAAAAACGACATTTGCAAATTAAAAGTTTGCAATAAGTTGTTTTGCCAAATGAGAATTTGCCAAATGAAAATTTGCGAAACGTTGTTTGCGATGTGATAATTTGGGAAACGTTTTTTGGCCAAACATTAGTAATCCAGCACTGTTATTATTTAATTATGAAAGAAAATAAAAAATATGAGTCTAATATTTTCTAAATAACTGTCTGACGGACAAATAATTGAAATTTTGTCATCTAGCCTATTTGCACTAGTGCTGCACTCTGGCGGCAAAATACAGACTTTTCTTAGTTTGAGACAAGATGGCGCTTTTTAAGTATTAGGTACCAAAGTGTTACTCTTCAAGGGAAGAAAGACGATTGAAAAAAAATTCCTTTCCAGTTCACGTAGTAAGTAAAGGTAAACGACAAATCGCTTTGTTCCTAGGGTAGGTATAGTCTGGTCTGCGAGCACGTAGAATTTTGTCCAATGACCCCAAGCTACCCATCCTTATCGCTCGCGCGTAATTGTGTTGCTGTCGCTACTGTGCGACGAGCGCCCGCAGTGAGTGTGCGAGCTCACAGACCGGGCCTTAGGTTAACTATTTAAAAATATGTTTCTTGTATTTTTACCTACATTCCTCCTCTTGTTACGTGTAAATGACTTCTGAGCTGATGACGTTTCCGTGCTCGTCGACGTCATCGATGGTGATCTCCACTGATCCTTCAGGCGGCTCGAGCTTTTCAGTCTTCATTGGCAATGACGCCTTTTCTTCATTGTCACCTAGAAATAATTGAACGATTTTGAAACGGCAAATGGAAAAAATAAAAAACTGACAACCCGTATTGATAGATATAGTCTGGTCCGTGAGCACGTAGAATTTTGTCCAATGACCCCTAGCTACCCATCTTTATCGCTCGCGCGTAATTATGTTGCTATCGCGCTCGAACACTCACTGCGGGCGCCCGTCGCACAGTCGCGACAGCAATATAATTATTACGCGCGAGCGATAAGGATGGGTAGCTAGGGGTCATTGGACAAAATTCTACGTGCTCACGGACCGGGCTTTAGTAGCGCCCTCCAGTAAGTGGCATAATTATATTGTTGTCTATCGTGGCAAATATCAGAACTGTATTGATAATAGCGCCCTCCTGACAACGTCATAGCTGGCACAGGTCAGTGCTAGCTACAGTCTAATTTTTTAGAAATCAGCAGAAATGTCATCAAACATGGCCAAATGACATAAAAATATTTTTAGTCTGTGAACTAGTGATGCGACAAAACCTCTCGTTAATCGCGAAGTGAAATTATTGTAGTACTTGCGTATCATCGCCGGGTGATCGTCAAAATACTAAAAATATGCAACAAAGTCGCAACATTGAATGTGAACTGATTATGAAATCGAGAACAGGAAACAAACTGTATGCACAGATGTAATCAAAAAACACACTGGACAGTAAAACAATCAATGACATCCGTAAAGTTATTAAACTTCAAATAGTTGCAAAAAGTTCTGTTTGACAGTGTTGCTACTAGTGACATCTCGCTCGCTCAGTTCTTTGTTGCTCTATTCCGCTAGGGAGGTAATTTAAGATGCTATCAATGAGGGTTTTCGCGATTGAAAAATCCGCCAGATGGCAATACGTAGACGCGAGGTCCAAATGCTGCATGATTGGTTATTTTTGACAT